TCTCCTCGTACACCGCCACCCGGAGAGACGCCAGCGTGGGCAGCACCACCTGCGGGAACACCGCGCGGACGGGCCGTGAGCCGAGGGAGCCCGACAGGAACAGGAAGGAAGGTGACTGGCACCTAAGAGGAAGCCCAGTCTCTCTGACTGTCTGAGTGCCTGTCACACCCCTTATCACCCTGTCTGCCACACCCACTAGCAACCTGTCCGTCATACCCACTACCACCCTGCCACACCCACATCACCCTGTCTGCCACACCCACTACCACCCTGCCACACCCACATCACACTGTCTGCCCCACCCCCACCACACCCACAACCACCCTGTCCACCACACCCACTAGCAACCTGTCTGCCACACCCACAACCACCCTGTCCACCACACCCACTAGCAACCTGTCTGCCACACCAACATCACCCTGTCTGCCACACCCACTAGCAACCTGCCACACCCACATCACCCTGTCCACCACACCCACTAGCAACCTGTCTGCCACACCCACTACCACCCTGCCACACCCACATCACACTGTCTGCCACATCCCCACCACCTGCCACACCCACAACCACCCTGTTTGCCACACCCACTACCACCCTGTCTGCCCCACCCACTACCACACCCCCATCACCCTTTCTGCCACACCCCCATCACCCTGTCTGCCCCACCCACTACCACACCCCCATCACCCTGTCTGCCCCACCCCCCCCACCTGCCACACCACCCTGACAACCAAACGCCTGAGCAGCACCTTGGCGAACATCCAGGTCTCCTCGTTCCAGACCGGGTCCAGAGAGTTGTTGTTGGACGTCTTGGTGCGGTACTTCCTCCGGGTGTCCACCGGCAGGCCGAACATGTCCACCTCCACGTACACCCCCACCTTCTTGTCGCTGAGGAACTGCCCCGAGATGATCTGTCGGGACGGGGAACTCCATTAATACCCAGGCTGGAAGGGCAGCAGAGGTGGGGACGGGCGGAGGAGCCCACGGGATCCCCCGATCACGTTTGTGGGAGGGGCGGCAGCACGCGTGCTCCGCAGCGCCCCCTGGGGGGGTGGGGGGGCAGAGGCTGCCACCGGACCGCTCAATTCGCACGTCTCCACACGTCCAGAGCCCCAAGCAGTTCGAAGAGTGGGCCACCAGAGGGCGCCACGTCAACTCAAGAGTCACCCGTCCAGGATGCAGGAGGCTGC